TGTATAGGTACTTCATCTTTCAGCCGAGGAATCACCATCTTTTTTGTGAAAATATGACTTGTAGTTCACCAGCATTAAAAGTTCTTTCAATAGATTTTCTTATTTTGTCAGTAATTATTTCACTTGGTGCATCACCCTTGAATTGCAGTCGTATATATGGAAGGGCTTCTTATTTACAGGTGGAGAATAAACATTGTTGACATCTGATCACATCTCATCACATCACATCACACTTCGAAAGCCTCAGGATAGTCAGGGGTAGGCGCCTTGCACTGCGGGTTGGCCACCCCTCCGTACACCTCTTGAAATGCTCCCATATGACCTAGCATCTTACATAGCCTCTCCTGAGGAAGTCCTACTCACTGCCTTCAAGTGGCGGAGATGTTTTTCACCGAAGTGAGAGGGCAAAAGCGGATGCCCGGTGCTCTTCACCGGGTTGACTGTCCATTGGATGACAATCTAGAGGAGATAGCTAAACCCTGATTTCAAACCTCCAACGACTGGCGTATGAAGCTCACCGGCAGACGTATGGACAAAGGGCTTATTGGATGCCCTGGATGTCTGGCCCCATTCAAAAAGGCGTATGAACCGGACTCCGGTCACCGGTTGCCAATGGATAGTGGACTCCCTACTCCACTCCTACTGCCTTGTAGGTCACACTTGGTTGTGTAAAGGCTAGAGCTGCACTCTCAAACAAAAGGCCGAGCGATTCTGGGGACATCACTCGTACTTAATCCCCATGAAACTTCATGAACTCTCTACAACATCAACCAAATTCCAGTACTGTACTGGTCCAACAACGTCGCCTTCGGTGGTTTGGCCATGTTCTGCGCTGACCAGATGACGATCTGGTCAAATCAGTTCTAAATCCCTCGCCATTTCCATCTTGGCGATGTCGCAGGGGTGGACAGCTGAAAACATGACTTGGTACAGTCAAGGCTGATATGGAGTGCCTGGGCTGGGACTACAAACCGTCTATGGACTCCGTCTGTGGAACAAGAATTGGATAACCCTGTCGCAAAACCTTGCATCAGATCGCCGCGCCTGGGCAGCGATGATTCGAGATGTTCATGAAGCCGGCTCATCCTCCCGTAGGAGACAGCCGAAGTAAAGTACAGTAAGTACATCTCTCATTCCTTCACACATATTAATTCAGTAGGAGATGGGATCCAGTTGACTTTTTAGGCAGAAAATCAGCCAGGAGAGTTAGCTATTCTAGACTGTAATATCAGACAAAAATATTGGATGGTGGGCTAGATACTAGCATTTATGAAAGGCCATCACATACTGATGGACACAAACACTTTGAATCATCCTGTTCCACATATTGTGGAACAATTTCTAACCTGGCGGAGTTTCCAATATACAATCCAATACCGTTTTTACGAGCTAGTATAAACCAGTTTGAGTTATTTGTGCTCACTTCTTGATTGTGAGGTAAACGTTCCAAGTCTTCGGCAAACTTCTAAGTAGTTCGTCTCACCACTCGAATGTCATAGCTTTGGTTGACTACAAAAGGAGTAGTGACGGGATTAGTAATATATTGTTTGTAGTGTGCGGTGTGTAAAGATTTTGTTATTACTGTGGATGGAGTTGATCCTTTCACCAGTTAGTCCACTGGTGTCGTCGTCAAAAGAAAAGAGATAATAATAATAGACATAATTGGTGTAGGTTATGTGAACTAAAAAAGAGAAAAAGAAATAAAGAAAACGTAAAAACAGACACCCAATTAAATTTGAAGTTGATATACATATATATGTATATAATATCAACAATAATAATGGTGTAAGGGGTGTAATAATTAGATTAGTCAGGGGAGTAACACAAGACAGAGTGTGAAGAATTAAAACGGTGAGCTTAGATGTCTACCCGTGAATGGTGTATGAGATTCTTAGGGAATAGGCCATTTGGACCCAGTTCTTATGTCACTGCGTGATTGTCCAGGCGTCGCTAATAGCTGTTCACGGATGGTGCCTAAGCTACATCTGCCGGTAAGGAGTTGTAGGGACGGCAAACACACAGTCAGAAGAAGTGGCAGCACTCCCGAGTCTCTGCCCTCTGGTGAGCTGTCCTTCTGGGATTTCCACGAGGAAGCCTATACCTACTCAACTGTTTGGGTGATTCCGGTCATTTGCTATCTTGTAGACAGTAATCAAATCCCTCCTAAGAGTGAATATGCCTAATTTCTTTAGCCTTTCGTCATACGGTTTATTCTGAAGATCAATCACTTCTTTTGTCCCCCATCTTTGAACTCTTTCGAAGAGGTTTGCGCCTCTTCTAAACAGTCGAGAGGGGAGGGGAATGCTATGATATTATTCACTTCAAGGTGTCGTCTGACGTATGTTTTGTTCAATGCATAATATTTTCCTTCCGTCCCGGATCTTCAAATAAAAAAGGCTAACTGACAGTAGATCATGTGACACAATTCGTCTGATCTGAAGTGCAGCCCATCAATCAGGATAATTACTCTTTTCCTCCTTTGAGAAATACACGATGATATTTCCTTGAATGTCAGTTTTGTGAACCAAAGATACCACTTAGGAATGATCATTTCATGTAGTGAAATAATCGCGCTATGAAGGATCATGCTTTTGCTATTCATGTTTAGTAGAAACTTGCATAACATCAAGTTGTAAAAGTTTTAAATACTCGTCAGAATAAACGATAACATCAAAGGTCATATTTTACTGCATTAAAACAAACGGAATTAGCGAAACTATATACGCTCTATTGATGAAGGTTTTCGGTAGCCCAACTTTTAATTAGGCCGCCAAATTGTTTAAGGACTGGAGAACCTACTCATTTGTTAAGGCTGAATCATAATGTAGCCGGTTTCGAACCTAAGGTCTATCGAAGATAAAAGGTAGATAATTAAGCCAATAGCAGCCACATCTTCGCTAATAATAATAATAACAATAATAATAGTTATATTGGTTGCAGGATTTCATCATGAGCTGACATTGATTGGTTAGATAACCATTGGAAAACCTGCAGGGAGTACTGGGCAACTGTTTCATCAGCCTAGTTTGAGCATCTCATTGGCGACTGGTCCTATTCAGCTACGTAGTTTACCTAGTGGGTTCTAGTGGGAAGTCGTGAATTGGCAGAAGTTAGAATTTATGGGCCAATTGAATCCGGTTCCAGTGATTTAATGGTATACGAGCTAGCTTGCCTTGTAACCTGAAGGTCCTGGGTTCTAACCCCGGTGGGTGGGTACTGTTGAAGAGTCCCAAACTAGGCTGACGAAATGCCTGTCCAGTATTCCGGGATTGTTTTCTAATGGTTCTGTAACCAATTAATGTCAGCTCATGATGAAATCCTGTAGTCAATCAACCGAATCTCTACAAACCAATACTTGAATAGTTATATTACTTCACATCTATATTCACTAACCGTAAATATATGCGTACACACCCTGTGAAAAGAATATTATGTATATATATATATATATATATATATATATATATATATATGATATTGATGTAGAAGGCTTTCATTTTTGCATTTTCCCCCAAAAAGAGCAGTTAACTAGTCTAATTATAGTAACAATCAATAAATAGAATAAATAGTCCTCTTAGTTGTTTGATAATTATAAATTATAATAGAATTCTTATTCCATGTTAACTCCCTTTAATTTATCCTCATATATACATATATAGGAAATAAATTTAACCTATTTAGTTATAATAGTAGTAGTAATAATAGTCTATTGACAAAAAGAAAAAAAACGAAAAGGTTAGAGAAACCTTCACCAGTGTCTTCCTTTCCTCCTCTTCCTTCTTCTCCTCTCCCTCCTCCTCAAGTTCCCCCTAACTCATTGAGATTGATTTCTACTCAAGGCTCCTCAATATGTAAAAAAAACTAACAAAAAATGACCCTTCGCTATACATATAGATGTATATTCATGTTTGTTTTAATTGTTAAGTTTCACCTTGAAAATTCACTGAGATATTTGAAATCTTTAGAACTAATTATTTACCTTGAATATATATATATATATATGCATGAGTATATGTGTATTTCTATGTGTGGTTTGTAGAGTGAGTTATTCGTTTGTAGGTGTGTGTGTGTGTATATATGTGTGTATCTTCTGGAGGGAAAACGGGTGGATACGATGATAATTGTACATTATCAAATACTCAGTTAGTTAATGATGGTGACGTTGTTGTTGTTGTTGCTGTTGTTATTGCCATTATTGAAGCATTGATCATTTTCGAAAATAAATTAACAACTACTGAGCAACGGTTGCTATTAGTTACGGCAAAATGTTTATCCCAACCGTTTATTATTGTTATCTCTGTTTCGAATAAGTAAAACAAACTAATAAAAAATAATTTAGAGTATAAACCAATCATAAAATTAGGCGTTTAAGAACAAATTATATTTCTTCAAATAATAATAATAATGATAATGATAGTAAAACTATTTGAAATACATGTGTATATATACATGTTCAATGTTTCAACTGCACAATTTTAATTCTATAAGTGATTATTTTAGGGCTATTATATTGTTAGGTAAGAAAATTTGTTTTAATTCACTTACACAATGAATTTTCACTGGTGACATAATTTAAACGTGTGTGTGTGTTTGTGTATATGTATCTCTATATGTATTTGTTTAAATGCATGTGTATGTACGCGCGCGCGCGCGTAAATTCAATTTAATGAAGGTGAATAATTAACCATTCACTTTTTCTCAAGAATCCTTTCTTATTTTTAGAGAAATAAATGTAGAGGGGAAACATATTAATAAACAGAAGAAAAGTACTTTCACCCTTTGAAATTAAGTTTTGTTTTCAAATTTATTTGTTTTAATTCACTTCAAGGGAAAGCTAACTCCTTCTGTCACCCTCCCTCTCTGTCTTCTTGTGTCTTTCTAAAAGAAATCACAATACTGAGATAAATCTAAGTGTTACCTAGAGTGTATTTGTATACTCATCTGCGTGTGTGTGTGTGTGTGTGTGAGCGTATGTGTACATGGGCATATTTGTACCACTTGCCTTTGAAGAATAAATAACATAAAAAAGACTTAACACCTTATCTTTCAACTTTTGTTTTATTTTATTTGAATGTGATAAATGTTTTCTAATTTTGTTTATTTTAGACTGTCAAATTATCTATCCCATTGACAATTGAACTAATTAAACGAGAAGGCAAATAAAAGGAGTGAGGCGCAAATGTTGCATAGAAAGGACATGCATGTCTTCATATCGCTATATGTATATGTACATTCTAAGTGATTAATTGATGTATATAAACACAAAGAATTTTGTCATTTCTACAAGCGACTACTAAAATAAGCATTCTTGTGTAAATAGTTCAACTAAATTCACACACACCAAAGATTTCATGAAAATAAATCAGATCAAATCAAATGGGATCAATCTGTCATTAATAGAAGACACACAGTGAGTTGTACACATATCAGGAATTCCCTCGCATTGCATTTCTATGTACCTGTAATCTGCGAGATTGGCGACAAAAATCAACCACACACACACAAACACGGAAGAACCGGAGAATTGTTCATCCCTTTATTTTTCCACAGTCTCTTTCATCGGAGGCAAGGAAAAAGTTCCTCAATTTCCAAGGATACATTCATATACATCTATACCGACTTTTGATAAGCATATAACCATCAGTTGATTTCTGTTGGATCTGTGGAGTTTCAGAGAAGAAGATTTGGAAGTTTAGGCAAATAAAAAAAACAGGAAAAAGAAATAAACGAATTCAACTGTGGAGCAGTTAAGGTAAGCGGGATATCTGTGCTTTTATTGAGGTTAATTAGCTTATAAACACTTTGTCAAGTTTATTTATGTAATAAAGGCAGTTGAAACAAGTGTCAAAAAGCACCTAACGAAGGTTAAATACGATAGCGTCGGTGGCTCAATGGTAGAACGCTCGCCAACTCCGCAGATGGTTCGAAGTTCGGTCCCCGGTCACCGATGCACTCTCTAAGCTAGTAATAAGACTGGCAAAGAGGGAAGGTTGCTAGCCAGCATGAGGCTGGCTAACAATCCCATCCTGTAAAATTTACTAAACACCACTGCTATCGAAACTTCAAGCCTGTAGCTTGAAGGCGCCCTATGTTCCACTGGTAACGTACAAGAATAAAATAAAAAAAAAGCACTTATGATATACAGTGTGAAATTTTCAACATCTGGTACAATGCTCCATCTAATTTACTCAACACCATCAACAGGAAAAACACATTACTGGCTACACTTAACTAGAACTGATAACAGCACCAACGTTTGGCATTAACAGAAACAGTAAGTGTTGGTTTGTAGGGATTTGATTGGTTTCAGGATTTCATCATGAGCTGACATTAGTTAGAGAACCATTGGAAAACCAGCTGGGAGTACTGGACAGCTGTTTTGTCAGCCTAGTTTGGGACTCTTCAGCAGTACCCACCCACCGGGATTCGAACCCAGGACCTTCCGGTTACAAGGTGAGCTCGTAAACCATTAAACCAGTAATGTCATCTCATGATGAAATCCTGAAACCAATCAATCATATCCCTACAAACCAACACCTAAATACCGATGAGATGCTCACTGGCGGACTTCCCCTATTCAGTTAGGTAGTTACCTGGACTCCAGTGGGAAGTCGTGACCAGTAGGGTGCAGCGGGTCGGGTGTGAGGACAAATACTCGCCAAAGACATTGGCTAGCGGTCGCGCTATATCGTGAATTGCCAGAAGTTGGAATTCAAAGACCATTGGATCGGGTCTCAGTGGCTTAATGGTATACGAGCTCGCCTTGTAACCGGAAGGTCCTGGGTTCGAATCCCGGTGGGTGCGTACTGATGAAGAGTTCCAAAGTTGGATGCGGGAAACAGCTGTCCAGTACTCCCAGGCTTTCTAATGGTTCTGTAACTAATGTCAGCTCATGATGAAATCCAGAAACAGTAAGGTCAAAATGTACAAATGTAAAATGATAATAATAATAATAAAAGTATTAGTAATACAAAAGTATAAAATAATGCGGATAGCGAATGTCACCATAAAAGTACTTATTTATGCGAGAATAAATGAGCCATATTTTATGCTAACTATACAGTAAGTATTTTTAATATATTTATGCGTTGAAGTTTCTGTAGCAATTTGGTTAAGTTTTGGCGGTAGAGTTGCTAGCACTACTACGCCCCGACCCCGTCCCTCTTTGTCGGGGCTTGGGACTAGCTAGAAAACTAGCGAGCTAGTAGTCTAGGCGAGGTGAAAAGTACAGCAGAAGGAAGACAGAAGCAAGTGGAGACGTGCAGTTGAAGCCCTATGTTCCACTAGGAACCCAAGGGAACAATAATAAATAATAATAATACACAGTAAGTGGTAAGTTTCCCACTTAACACTATCTTTATCACGCAGAATGTGGGCCATGATAAGTAACAGAAAATGAAAGGAACTTTTATTGTAATTATTAATCTCTTGAGTTCCAAGTGGCATACAGGCCTTCAACAAAACATCAACACTCTGTCAAATTCTCTGCTGTCTTCATTAGCTGGCTCTCTTCATGATTCCGCATAATGTCTCATCGCCCCCCCCCAACTAACACCATCTCCTCTGTGTCACCCTCATACCCACGACCCATTCGTCTATTCCTAATGGGATTCCTTTCGAGCAATAATCTGCATTGCTCGAAATATTATTCGATGGCCTCCTTCCGCAATGTATGCCCAGTCAATACATCTCCATTTTCTCCTACATACCTACTTGTTGAGAAATCGGCTCTTGGTTTGTTTTTTTCCCAAGAGTTTCTTGATGCTAATTCTTTCTGACCCACTGGCTTGCCATTTCATCTTCACTATGGAGCTAGAGAAGGGGATTTCTGTTGATAAATATCTGTAGCTTATTTGGAACGATTTCCGTGACAGGCAGTGCAAGTTTCTGACTTACTGACTTCACATTTGTGCTGAAAATCTGAATCTCGCTGTTCAGTGCATAAGATTTCCAAAATGGTCTCAGGTTGATGAAGGCGTATCATGCCAGGCGTATTCCCGACCCTCTCTGGCTGGCCTTAACATCTTGATTCATTCCGACTGTCTGTCGTTGAGACGGTGCTTCTTGGCCAGATAACTGAAGGAAATAACCTCTATTAAATCTCATCTTTTGATGGTGATCGGTTCTACTTGTTGTTGTTGCTGTTGTTGTTGTTGTTGATGGTGGATGGTTATCTTCACCAGCTTCATCTTCTCTATGTTCACCTGTAGTCTTATCTTCGTTGGCCGCTTTTTCAGCCAGTTTGCTGGTTTTTGCCTGCAAATCTTCGAGTTTTTGTGCAAAAGAGACTGCAGATGCATAATGTTGTTAAGCAGACAGCGACAGTTGTTACTAAAGATAAGAAAAAACAGTAATATGAAGTATCAGCGTATGTTTTAATGCACACTGCCAACCTCCATGGTGCTCTTTATTAGGTTTCTTTTTCAAAACTTGAATTTATAAATAATCGAAAGTTGGTAATGGGTTTTAGCACCGTAGATTAATACATAAAAACAAGTAAAACACTGCAAATTAGGTGCAGTATTGTGTAATTAGATGGTAATTAGATAGCCCGACATTCGAACAGGCTGCTTGTATTCTTCTTCTGATATTTCCACATCATTTTTAATTTCAAGAAAGATATTTCATCTAGCCTTCTGTGTAAGGAAGTTAAGACAGCCTGGTATTACTCCGTCCCCAATGTTACAGTTTTTTTTAAAAATTTTTGTATTCTCCCTATTCTTCTTTATTCCCCCACTCTCCTTACATCCTAATCTTTCCTGAGAAGAACACTAAAAGCTGTTGGTAGGGCCATTAGTGTGTGTGTGTGTGTCGCTAAACCAACTCGTTAATACTGCTGTTGTGGCTAGACACCTGAACGTATGTAAAACAAAATTAGCGAATATTATCCTGTCACACTCTGAGTAACCTCTTTATCTATACACAACTCTCATCACTTGCATTTCACATCAAGTAGAACTAGAGGTAACTATAAAAAAATCCTAACCCTTGGAAGACTAAGTATTTTTTTTATTTACAGCTTGATTCCACACTGTATTTTCGGTACAAGTATGCAATTTTCAGCATGGATATCGGTAGCCCAAATTTTGCAGGCCGACCATAGATATCAGGTGTGCGTCGGTGCGGGCTCGAACCCCGGACCATGTGCATGGTCGGCGAGAGTCCTAACCACTGTGCCACCGACGCCATCGAAACTCTACGAAACTTTAGTTTGCATTCATTTGATGTGATGAAAAATATGTGTTATGCATGAAACTACTAACTTACTCCGTAGAAACTAAGTAAACGGCCCTTTTGTTATTCTTTCCATCATAAGTATATATCGTCGTCACAATTTTCCAATTAAATTTTAATTTTTTTGTTCATATTCTTAGTGACATTATTGTAAATTCAAGGAAAATTCCCATTGTAACATATCAGCTTTATTCCTCCTTTACGTTCCCAGCGGAACATAGGGCTTCAAAATGGAGGCTTTAAGTTTCTGTAGCAGTGGTGTTTATTTTTGCTGGATGGGATTGCTAGCCAGCCTCATGCCTAGCGAGGTAAAAGTGTTTTAATAATAATAATAATTTTTGCTTTATTCCAGACACAGTACTAATGATACAGCAAAGAATTTTCAGCATTTAGTACAATATTGCATCTAATTTACCCAAAAACGACAAAAAAAATTAAAAATACACATTACATAATAGTAATAAAACGATTGTTATAGCAGCTACATAGCAAAATACTGTATGCCATACGGAGAAAAATATGCATTAAGTACAAAATTGTAGTAATAATAGTAATACCAACTAAAATAAAATATAGCGAAAATATTCATTCAGATATCTATAAAACACAACATAATCGAGCAAAGAATATCCTTTTCGATAAATTCCTCTTCTGGCTCTACAATTATATACATGTTTATATACACAGAATATTCAAGGTTGGTAGTTAATATTATTATTATTATTTAAAAAACACTAATATTGTTATTAACTACCAACCTTGAATATTCTGTGTACATAAACATGTATATAATTGTAGAGCCAGAAGAGGAATTTATCGAAAAGGATATTCTTTGCTCGATTATGTTGTGTTTTATAAAATAAAATAGCAGAGTAATAATTAAACGATAGAAAGTGTGACACCATAAAATACAGAAAGATGAACGATGAAAGCGTCGATTCACTGTGCTAATTACATAGTAACTTATGTGTTTCACGTCTAACAGAGTCTTCGTCACATAAAGTACGGGCTAAATAGGGTATTGTAGAATTTCTATACTTAGTGGTACGAGCATATAACTTTTTATATTGACTTCTCGTCCCACCTGATGAGATACAAGGGGATAGTTGTGAATAAAGGGGGTGCAGAGGGTCTGACATTATAGCCTTTGCCCATTTTGTACAGGAATTTGTGTGTCTCTCGACTATAGTATTAGCGAGCTCATGCAGTGGCAGACCACAGGCTCTACTCACAGCATTTAATACTCTTCGTAATATGATATAATCATTTTCAGAAGCCCAGGAAAGATTAATGGATTGAACACCGGGCCACCTGTGTGGTCGGCGACCATTCTACCGTTATGCCACTGACGCACCATTGTAAAATATAGAAAATTAAAAGCAGTGATTCAGCGTACAGACTCTCTCTTCAACAACGAATTTATCATCAAGCTGTACAATCGTATATATATATATATATATATGTGGTTTTTAAGAAGTTATATCCGGCGAGGAAACTGAATCATGGGTGTGAATGCAT